CTTAGGTAATCCACAAGCCCCTTAGCAAGCAAACAGCCCGAGAAACATCCGTGGCGGCATCCAATCCCCGAACTTCAACTTCCCCAAAAACTCCTCGAAATACCCATGAGTGCTTGCACTAACGAAACTCTGCGCTACATGCCCGAGTCCTCATCGTAGCAATAGCCACCTGAGGCCAAGACGATGAGGCTGATCTTTAAACAAACAAGCAAGTGTTGTAAATAATCACTGCTAGCACCACGGCCAAAAAAAAACATAGCAATTTGATTTACTCATGCACACTTGTTCACTGCTCTCTGTCGGCTCTCCGGAGAAAACTCTTCCCTCTCCTGGCCTCCCTCCAAGTGGATGTGCCACACGCTGCCCTTCGTGAACCCCAGCGGCGGTGTGAAGTACATGGCCCCCGGGCTGCCGTCGTTGCCTTGGCGCAGCTGTTGGTGGCGCAGCTTTCATGCCCGCTCTCCGCATGTGCCAGTGGATTTGTTTGTCCACTCCGACCTCGTCCCCAAGCCTCCAATGTCATGATAGACGCATTCTCCAACAGATTGCGACCGTGAGCAAGGGATGGTTCCGTACTTCGCGTTCCCACCTCAGAAGTGTTACGCGTTTCTATAGCAACAACAAAACCGACTATTGACTACCAAACAAGACCGCAGAAAACACGTCCAAGAAGGACCCTATCGCTCCTAGACACTCACGACCGAACCAAGAGTGCAAGTCATGATGAGATGGACCGACATGAAGGTACCAGTAAAAAGCCGTCTAAGAAAGGGGTAAGGACTGCTCCACCACTATTAATGGGCAAACCAAGTTTCAAAAACTTAATACAATGACATAGCTTTTTTCCCCACGCCCGTCTCACGCACATCCTCCATCAGAATGGATTTTAGCAGGCGGGGTGAATGTTCGAGTGCACCAACCAATGGCGAAACTTCCACATGTCTTATTTCCAACCTCTCGGTATCTTCGCTTAGCGGTGCAAAATCCTGGGAGGGAACGGAACGGTCTGCCTTTTCTCCATCGCAATCAGGCTCTCGAAGCCAACTCACAACTAAAGGGGAACAGCATAACCAAGCATTTTGTCTTTCGTGGGGGCTCAGGGCTGAACGGTGGGAGAGAAGGAACACGAGGGAGAGAGAGAGAGAGAGAGAAAGAAAGAAAGAAAGAAAGAAAGAACGAAAGAAAGAAAGAAAGAAAGAACGAAAGAAAGAAAGAAAGAAAGAAAGAGAGAGAGAAAGAAAGAGAGAAAGAAAGAGAGAAAAGATAATGATAGTGAGAGAAAGAAAGATAGCTATAAATCAAGGAAGGAAGATAGAACGAACGGCTGGCAGGAAAGAAGGAAGGAAGGAAAGAAAGGAAGAAAGAAAGAACCAACAAAACAGGAAAGAGGGAAGGAAAGAAAGAAAGGAAGGAAGGAAGGAAGAAAGAAGAAAGAAAGAAAGAGCGAGAGAGAGAGAGAGAAATATTATGATAGTGAGAAACAGAAAAAGAAATAGAAATCAAGGAAGGGAGATGCTGGCAGGAAAGAAGGAAGAAAAGAAAGAGAGCGGGAGAGAAAAAAACAAGCAAACAGAAGAAACCGAGCGTTGCTGGAAGGTGGAGGGATCACTTGCGCCCATGGGATCACTTGCGCCCATTTTGCTTAAAAGGCGTCACTTACGCCAATGAAAAAAGGATCACTTGCGCCCATGGTCATTTGCAGTGCTGTGGCGGGTGTGGGCGGGGAATGGCGGGGAGGGGGCGGCCGGGGGGAGGGGGGGGACGGGGGTGGGGAGGGGGGGAAGGGGTTGGTAAAAAGGGAAACCCACCACCCACAAACAGCCAGTTAACAAAAAGAACGGCTGCCATCTCCAACCAAATCTCGTATTTCTGAACCAAAAACCTAAACCAAAAACAACCCAACCAAACAACCTTTCTGAACTAAAACTGATCTGTAGTTCCTCAATCGCAATCGTTCCACCATTCTAAGGGGAGAGAAACACAGTGCGCCGCACAGATTCAAAAAAGAGACGGGCACCCCAATCCGACGGGCACAAGCAACCCGAATCTGACGGGCACCGCGGGCACAGGCGAACCCCCGACCTGGCAAAAGGCCGGCTCGCGCTCCGTTCTACTCGCGCCAATTGTTCGCAGGTGCGCCGTGGACCCCAAGGCCAAGTTCTCAGCTACCTCCAGTAAAGGAACGCAAGCAAAGCTGGAGCCTCGCTTGAAATAGGCGCGCAGGTGATCTTTCAAGTCATTCGCCACACGGTGAAGGACGGAGCTGGTGTCTCTGCAGTTGAGCACTGTGGCGGCGCCTCATACCAATTGGGGAGGAGCATGGCTTCCGTAGCGGCCTTGTTCGGCATCCAGGAGGCGCGGCCTGGAACAGAGCTAGCCGCTCATCAGACTTGCTTGCGGCCACTGTTTGCCCGTACGCCGTCTGCGTGTCCGCTGTGTAACTGCTGGCCGCAGAAAATCTTTCTGGGCATCTTTAAGCCTCGTGGCTGGCTTCTGAGGCGAGCTGCTGGTTCACAGCCGGAAAGTCATACAGATCACTCCGGCACCCCAAAATCATTATCCACGCCGTGCGCAGGCGTGGCGTTACTTCGACGGTCAGCCTGCCAGCAGTGAAATCTTCAAGCACCGAAGGAAGGTAGAAGACAACCTGGAGGACGAAATCTCGAAAGAGGTGGCAGAGATCCATCTGGAGCAGCTGGACAGCGGCGTTCCCTAAGCGAGGGAAAGTGGCGGGGAGATGTGGGGAGCAGTTAACGCGTAAGCCAGGTCGCTTCACAAAGGCCGAGGTCAGGCGGAGTCAGGCGTGAGCGTGCGCAGATCTGGACGCTGGATGTGTCGTATCAGGACTACGCCCAAGCCACGACACAGGCGCCGGCAAGCAATCGCATGCGCCGCTGGCGCCTGTCATTGTACTGGCAATGGCACAAGCGCGCGGCAACCTCTGGAACTGCGAAGTGCACTGATATGGCTACAGGGCGCACCAGAATCCAGCAAATAGGGAAACGTTGCAACTAGCAACCTCATCAATCAAGGAATGGTCAGGCAAACCCCCATTCGCCCATGGCAAATCTCGAGGGCGTGTCTCTTTGGCGCGGTCGCTGGCAACTGAAAAGCTGGCGCACGGGGTTGCAAACATAGTGGCCAAAATTCGGCCCCCATTTATATCAGCATGGATGTGCTTCAAGGCACCTGGATTCCCCACTCTTTGGCAACAAAGCCAAGGTGTCGCCCTGCCTTGGCAACACGGTGGGCTCCACCACTGACCCTGAATGCCACGGGCCTCAAAGCAGGGTCAAAGCGCGGCTCACCCAAGCATGAGTTGCAGGCTTCTTTGATCAGGCCCCGGATCTCGGAGCTGGTGGGACGTGATGCAAACTTGTAAGCGACGCCTCCCGCCCAAGACTAGTAGCAGAAGTCATGTCCCAGCCGGCCTTGCCAGACAAATCTTCAGGGTACATGTCAAAGTCATGTGGTGCCTTGAAGCTTTCACAGCGCAAGGCCAGGCCATGCCCCTACGCCCGACAGCTAAAAGCCAAAGGAAGTAGAGAGCACCGCAGGCAGCCTGTGAGAACCCAGGCTGCTGGAGCGCCGCCGAAACTCGCTGCAGCAAGGTAACCGCGGTTCAAGGCAGTAAGTGGTTCGCAATAGCACTGGCAGTGACAGCCAAGATGGGATGATGTTGTCACAACAGGCCCGGTGATTTTTCGCAATGCGGCTTCGAGAACTCACAAATCCCAACTTGGACACTGATCAGAGTTGCCAGTAGGAGACCCTCCAGTTTCATGGCAACACTAACTAAAACTCATGCACCCACAGGCACACGACAATGTTCCATTCTGCGCTCAAAATCTGGTCGTGAATCATTTCCAGAAAAAAAAGAAAGAAAAAAAAAAAAAACAGAAAGAAAGGAAAGAAGAAAGACAGAGAAAGGGAGAGAGAGAGAGAGAGAGAGAGAGAGACAGAGAGCGAGAGAGAGGGAGGGAGAGAGAGAGCAGGAGAGAGACAGAGAGAGCGAGAGAGACAGAGAGAGACAGAGAGAGACAGAGATTAATGAAGACGGAGAGAGGTTAGGAAGTTACTGCGAAGAGAGAAAGGGTAGAAAGAGAAATCTGTTGAGGCTCCAGCTTTAAAATCGCACCGTCCTAACTCTTCACCATCGCACCCTGTTTCCTACAAGGTGCATAAGCTGTTGGGCCACACTGGAAACAGCCAGGATTGACAATGAAAGAAGATACGAGGCCCTCTGCACCATTTGGACCCCCAAGTGGCGCCTATCATTTCCTCTCATCGTTCTCTGACTATCAGCTCATGCTCCCTCCCGCCGTTCAATCACCCAGCCCCCTCTCTCTCTCTCTCTCTCTCTCTCTCTCTCTCTCTCTCTCTCTCTCTCTCTCTCTCTCTCTCTCTCTCTCTCGCTCTCTCTCCCTTGTCATGGGTCAACCGCTGTCAAAGGAGTGCCCCATGCGTCAATCGTCTGAGACTTCCAACCTCAACAAGTCCGAGCGACATCTTGCACCTCGCAGGTCCAAGCGTTCCAGCGTGGAGGGCCAATGTGCAGGAGCCATGGCTGGAACACCACAGGCGCTACGTCGAGTCTTGATGTGTTTTTGGCCTGCTGCTCGCAGCTCGCCAACGCCCGGAGCATATATCAGCCCTCGTTAGGCCAAAAGTAGAGCATGGATGTGCGCATGAAATGCCAAAAGCCAGCCTGTTGTCTGCTCGAACATGTGTCAGGTTGAGCCTGCGCAGCTCGAACCACATGAGGGGGGGTGGTACAATTAAGATGTCGCAACTATGGATGACTTCATCTCGCATCACTGGTTCTTGACACATCATCTCTGCAACCTTCCAGGACCCTCAACCTTCGAACGCGTTGAGGCAAAACGCTGCATTGATCGCAACAGACTTGCCGTGAATGCGTCAGACTTTGGGCGCCTAAGTCTTAAGGTTGCGCCGCTGCAGGTGAACTCCTCACAGCTCGAAGGTGCTGGGTTCCTGGCATGCAGCTCGAAGCTTTCAGCCAACCTAGGGCACATGCGGCACGGGGAGTGTAATGTTGACCCAGGATTAGTAAACCCGTCCCATTCTTGGGGGGTGTTCCTTCCAAAAGTGATCAATCCTACTGAAAGGGGACACCCCCCTATTCATCAATCAGGGGTTTATTAAGGTGCAATCTGCTCCTTCATGTTTGCAGCCTTTCTCTGGTCACTGCCGTGACCAGCCAGCAAGATCTTGTGCCCCGTTTTAGAAGCGTTAAGAGCAGAGCCCTTTCTGCGTGCAAGCACGCTAGCCCGACAAACGTGCCAACATGGCGACAAAGGAAACAACTGGAAGCATACTCTTGAACTCTTGGAGGTGATCCCAGGGGAGTGCAGCCAATGTGTGGCAGTGTTCTGCAAACCATGCTCCAAGCTGCTTTTTGGCTGGCAGTCCTGCGTTTTTCGTGGGACAGCCCCCCTGCTAAATCCTCTGGCAAAACCACCAGGTGACCCTGCAATTTCTCAGAGCCCGGTTCCAGGTTGAGCCCAGGTACCAGAAATCGACAGAATATGGCAACCAATTTTCTAGAGGTGTTCCGTTGCCGGGCTCCCGGCGCAACTCCTCACCGGGCAAGGGGATAAGCTCCTCCTGGAAGGTTCTTGCTCCCGGCTGATTCTTGGCCAAGAATCAAAAAGATTTGGCAGTTGCTGCCGGACTCACTCAAAGCACTACCTGTGGCACGCTGTGCTGCCAAAAAAACGTGCAGTGAACATACAAACGCAATGGTGCTCACACCTTCTTTCCTAGGTCTGCAAAGGGCAAGAACCTCCCCTTGCTTGCGACTGTCAGGCTTGGTCCTCGCGAAGTGAAGAGATCTCAGCCTGTCAACTTTGTGGCACAGAGAAACTCAACGCCACCTTGTCTGACAGCAAATGCAAGAATCTAAGTCAGAATTATCTGTACCGGCCGCCACCTCTGCAAGCTTTCAGTGGGGCTGCGCAAGGGTCACATTATTTTCGACTGGTGGAGCCAAACCTCGCCGGGCCGACCTGACTTGGCTCCAACTGGGAGAACTGCAGCAAAAGCCCTGGCATGGACAAGCAAAAAGTGCGCCAGCTTCAGCTCCGAAGCTATGTTTCAGCTTGCTGGATGGATGTGGGTGTCTTCCACGCGTTTCGCGTCTCCGCCTTGCTGCGAAGGACGTTACATTGCAATGGCTAGCTCAGCCAAGTCGCAAAACTAGCACTGATAGATATAAAGCCTGCACGGCATCGCACCAAGACACCCAATCAACAAATGCCTCACGTCAGCACAAAAAAAAAAAAAAAACAAGTCGCATGCCAATGAGGTAGCATGCAAGTAGAAACTCGAAACATTTGAAGGCGGGATGCCCAAACTTGCCAGACTCTGAGAGGCAATCCCAAGGAGACATGGGTTGGGTGGGTGGCGCAATTGCTTTAGATGGCTTGCCAACAGGTAAAGCATCACCATCCCTCGCTGTCAACGAAACACAAGTGATACCAAAACTCCGGCTCTGTGCCAACAAGCCAGTCAACAAAGTGCAAACAACAATTCAGCAGCGGTGAAACCCTGTGCTAATCTCGTGCGTCAGTTCCATGACCTGCTGCCAGCTTCAGTAGCTTGTCCTCCTCTGAGAGAGGGACGCCTTGCGAGCGGGCACTGCCGGCAACGCGACTTTAATTGGAGCTGGCCCTGGATCTACTTAGTGGTAAAGATGTGTTGCAATGCAACAGCTTCTGGCTGATGCTCTATGTGTTGAAGGAACTCAAGCGACTGAGGTGCGCTGGGTCCGGGATTGATTTTTGCATTGCTGGGAGTTGCCGCTCTCGAAGAGATGGATTTCTTCATTCTAGAGCCACTTTATCTCGCCTGATGCTTTGAGCACGGTGAAAGTCCAGAAGTGGTCTACGGGCAGAATGCCATGGCAGCCAAACAGCACCCTGGCACGTCTGGCAACGTATCAACAGGGTAGTGGACAAGCTCACGATGCACGCAGGTCGATTGATGCCCACCCAGTACAAGCACAACAGCGCGAATTCTGTGCAACGTAGAGGACTATACTCCATACACGCCTGTACCTGCACACATTATGAGATACAACATGCCCAAAACACCCAACACCCCCGCGCCCGACATAGCTGACTCGGGTCGGGGCCTTGATGCCGGAGAAGCCGCAGAGCCTCCAAGCAGCCGGAGGCTGACCTCACGGCTGCGCGCTCGCGCGTGTGCAGTGGCTTTAGGGTAGCTTCGCAGCCACTTCGAGAAGGATGCCGCTGGTCTTCTGGTGTTTGTTGCTGGTATCTGAGCATGCCTGATCGGGCAATCCAACTTGATCCGGCGTTGCCAGTTGCGCAGTACGTATTGAAGGAGTGCGCTGGCTCAGGTCACAGAAACGCGCTTCGCAACAAATGGGAATAGCAAAATGCTGTGCAGCTCAAATCAAACACATTCAGGGCATGATGAATAGCAATGACCAGAGCTCAGCCCCAAAGAACGGCCGTCCCGTTGAGTCGACAACGGCCAAGGAGCAGTGTCGTGGACACTCCGAGCCGCTCCACGAAAAGGGGCCGGAGATGGGGGTACCTGGCCAGCCCAAGCTCCAAGCGCGGACTGAATGCCAACAGGCAGGGGAATCATCAACCTGAGTGATGACCCCCCACTTTGTTGCCTTCGTGTTGCAATTCACTGGATTCCCGGTGATTAAATCTGCGGTCAGCACTGCAAAGCGAATTCGGCAGCAAGTTCCAACATACTGGGTTTCGACCATGCTGTAGCTGCTGTACATTTGGGCGGGCACAAGTACGACAGGCCAGAATCAACAACGTCTGGCTGAGTTTTCACATGCCAGCACTGAGAACTTTCTCTTGTAGCTCGGAAATCGGAAGTTGGCATGTCAAACGCCTGCCCAGAACCGCACATCCCGTCTTCACCTCCCCTCCCCCGCTCCCCACACCCCCGCCCTCCCGCCCTCCCGCCCCCCGCCCGCCCCCCCCCCCCCAGTTAACGTTGCGCCCGTTGAAAACGAGGCAGCCGCACCATGGTTGCAAGTCGCTTTTGCCCAACAGCTCGCCCATGCCTCGGCTCGGCCGATCAAAACTGTCGAGCAACTGGCAAAGTCTTCCCACAGTCGTGGACCCTGGACCTTCAGGGGGTGCGAATCGGGGGGTATGGGGAGGAGCGGCTATGGCGAGGGGGCAAAAGGGGGGTGGGGAAGGGGGGCTAAGCCCCTTGGGCCTTGACCCCCTAAGGCCCCTAAGGATGACAAGTAGCCCTTGGCCGGGGCAAGGAAAAAGGCTAGAAACTGCAAACGACGGGCAAGCGACAGGAGCGTGCAGTGCAGTGCAGTGGACAGGTGCTACCCAACCCTCCCAGCACTGAGCAATACTAAACACTTCTCAACCATGATGTCCGCATACTAAAGCAATAATAGATCAGCACTTAAACCAAATATACATATTCGGCAAAGCTGACTGAGGCCAAATTCAAATGCAATGATACCGTTTACTCAAACAGTTGTAGAAGTAGAAGCAAATACTTGAAAAGCAGGTGGCATGGAACAGCCACTCTTAGGACATGTCAATGCAACATTGAAGGGTATGTACTAGAAAATTGGCACCCGACCCCTGAGAATTGAGAGATGATAAGACAATCCTAATCCAACACCAAACTAACAGTAGGCCAGTGCTACACCAAAACAAGCAAATAATGAAGCACTGCTAAACGGATTTCAAGCCGATGGCACATCTGAAGCTTCTCGGGCCCCGGTTCTGACCCTCGCTTCCTTAGGTTTTCCAGATTGACCCCGCAAGTTTGCCTTTCCACTCCCCAAGTTTGTTCCTTTGAAGCCGCCGGGGGGAAAAAAAAATAAGAGAGAAACCGATTGCCCGCGCCTTCTAGGCTGGTGGGTAGATACATGCAACTGCCGGCGTCATGAACGCCGAGGTTCGGCACATAGATCCTCACGGGACAATCTTGAGCTTGCAGTTGCGCTCCGGATTGCTTTTTGCTCTTTCTGATGGCGCCGAATCCCTCGGATCAAGGTTTGGGCTTGCCTGCTCTAGGCACACGGGTTCTGATGTAGTGCAAGAAGACGCCACCACGCCAATTGTACATGTCATTGGTGGGTGCATCTAGCAGCATATTGCATACCCTTGCCATGCAGCTGTGCCCACCCAATCTTTTTTCGGCTCATCTGTCCGCCCAGTCGTCTGAAGGCTTTGCCTTGTACTTGCCCTTACCTTTGCCTTTCTCCTTGCTCCTTGGCCACACTTGGTAGCCAATCTGGTCCTTCTGGAGCTTGGTTTTGGCATCCTTCAGCGAGTGGTCAAGTTCCTGCGCCGCGACACTGGCTCCGAAATCATGCATGCTGCGTGTTGGCTACCATTGTTTCACCGCTCTGCGCGGGATTGTTTCCCTGGAGGTGCGCAAGAAACCGGGCGCGTAAAGGGACTCTGGGCCGTGGCTCGCCGACCACCCGAGCGCCCACCCACCCCGCGCCGGCCTGAAGGACCTCAGCATAGGCCAGGTGCGCCTTCAGGAACAGCAGGGCTTGCTTGCAACTCCCGCGGGTGCCATGCAGAAGCAGCTCATCGCCCTCCACGTCCAGGTCCACGAGGCCACAACTGTTGCGGATACTTTCTAAGGTGCCATTCCTCGACATGGGCAGCGGTCCAACCCTCAAAAAAGGAGTCAGGTTCCCGTGGCTTTCCATACCCAAAAAGAAGCCGTAATGGAGGTGGGTTCAATGAATATGGATCAAATGCCGTCTGACAACTTGCTGGAGCGATAGGTAGGGGATGTGGAAACAGGGGGTCCCCTTAAAGCGCTTAAACCACCAGATGGATCGTTTCTCTTGGGTCATTCCATTTGTCATTCCCTGCATCTCTCGCAGCGATCGCAAGTGCCCCCACGCCACAAAACAATGACAGAAGAGTGGTTGCCTTCCATGAAAATCGAATGGCACAGCCAGAAAGAACCCTGCCGAGAACGCAGGGAAACCACTTGTGGCATGTTTTTTACTTGGGGGTCATTCCAACTCCTTCCCTGAAGAAAGGCCAGAAAATGCACCAACATAGGTGTCCTTTTCGGGGAAATAGATGATTAACCCACCAGGGAATCCAGGGCCGTTTATTTTTCTAGCAAGACAACCAGAAAGGACACCTACGTGCACCAACGTCTCCGCGCCGAGCTTCCGGGCTTCCTCGAGCGTGATGCCAGGCGGCAGCTTCAGCCTGCGGTGGACCAGGTCGGTGGCCCGTCGGACCTTGGCCACGGAGGCCTCGTCGCTGCCCAGCACCGTCACTGCCTTGGTACCTGGTAGTCAAAATCCAAATCGGTTAGCCCCCAGTGAACATCCGGTTCATTCCAACCACTCAAATAGGTTCTAAAATGGGTGGTGAATTCACCTAGCAAAATGGGATCCCAAAACGGTTTTGACAACCACAGCCTGGCGAAAAACGCCGCACAATCCGGGCAGGCGGGGAGGGTGTGAAGGAAGTCATACCGTTACACCGGGTGTTTCAGGCAGGGAAGTCACCGAACCCGTGGACAGTACCACGGTGTTTCAGGCAGGGAAGTCACTGAAACCCGCTGACAAGACAAGCCATTGCCAGCCAAGAGGCTGGCATCATCCAGATCGGTGACTACAATCCTGACATTCAGCTTGCTCTGCAACGACCGGATGTTGCAGCCGCCCTTGCCTGTCCGGGACAAGGGTGGAGAACCATCAAAGTTCCAAGGCATCCAAGCATATGGCAAAGAGCTCACACCCCCCAAAAAAAGGATACTCGGTGAGAAGAGCCACCAATGAAGCGTCCCACATGGCATTCGTTTAGCTGGAACTCGTCCTTCACAAACCCAGGGCAGTCCTTCAGGGCTGACACTGCCACAGTGCGGCTGTTCAACTATAACAGCTACAGCACTTGTATCATTGTCGTGCGTGCGTGCTCCTGACTGTTTGTTCACTGCGAGTGTTGAACCTGCGAGCGCAGGTTGCTCATGATTGCGTGTTCCTTTTGAGTATTTCACCTGTAACACGGCAACGCCAATGCTATCATCGCTAATGTTAACCCCGGATTAATAAACCCCTGGTTGATTCGTAGGGGGTGTCCCCGTTTAGTGGGGATTCAGACCACTTTCGGTGGGAACACCCCCCTAATATTGGGACGGATTTTGTCATCCTGGGTCAACAACATTGTCTGCAACGAGATGAAAGTGGCACCAGTCCTTGGGGTCAGCCTCAGCCAACTTCCTGGCGCCGCGCTTGGCCAAAGCCTCCTCTCGTTTTTGCGTCGCGTCCTGACGGCGCAAGCCGCGTGCTGATGTGGGTACTTGCAATGGGGCCACAGCGCATGCTGGCGGAGTTCTGGGTGTTCCACTTGCATGGCCATGGGTCAAAATCCACATCGAACCCCCAAGTGAACATCCCAATCCCCACTCAAATAGGTTCTAAAATGCGTGGTGCACCTACCCCACCCCAAAATGGTACCATTGATTTTGACCCACAGCCACATGGCTGGGCGCATTAGAGCGACACAGAACATGACGTCCTCCAAAACTTTTGCCTTTCGCTGGTTGTGTAGCCTCAGCTCACCGGGCCCGGCTCCAGTGGACAGTAGGCTGCACACGCATTTGCTGCGTGTGCAGCTGTCTTGGACCCTCTCAAGACCAGCCCCGCCCTCACAAAAACAACCAAACGGAGTACCAAAAGCGCCCTCTCCACATGCCCCTGAAATCTGCCAGAGCATGCGGCTTTCCCTCTCGCATTGCAACCACCCCCCCCAAACAAAGAAACATGACTGCGAAGCTTGGGGGAAGCCCCCTTCCTCCAATTCGCAGCCATAAGGGCAACGGCGACGCTTGCCCAAGCATGCCCAAGCGGCATGGATGGAACGAGAACCTTCGCGCGCTGTACCGCCTTGGCCGTACCGATGGCCAGCACCTTTGAGTCACAAACCTGGCGAGACATCCGCGGCGACCCCCCCGCCCGAGTTCATGGATCCGGCTTCTTCAGCGTTCTGTCGATTCTGCCTCTATCAGATGCCGAATCTGATGCGGATGCTTTCTTCGTCGTCTGCTTCTTTGTTTGTTTGTTTCACTCTTTTATTCTTGCTTTATTTGTTTCTTGCTCTCTTTCTTTCTTTCTTTTGTTTCTTTCTTTCTTCGTTTGTTGTATGGTTGGCTGTCTGGCTGGCTGGTGGTTTGGTTGATAAGTTGGTTTGGTTGGTTCAGTTGGCTTGGTTGGCTTGGTTTGGCTTGTTTGGTTTGGTTGGTTTGGTTGGTTTGGTTGGTTTGGTTGGTTTGGTTGGTTTGGCTTGGTTGGCTGGTGTTGTTCGTTTATTTACTTTTGTTGCGTGTTTGCGCTTGTTTCTGTGTTTCTTTGTTTCTTTGCTTGTTTCTCTGTGCGTTTGTGTTTGTTTGTTTGTCTATCTGTTCACTTGCTGGCTTGGTTTGTTTAAAGATTGGTTTGTTCCGGTTGGCGTGGTTTTGGTTGGCTTGTGTGGCTTGGTGAGTTGGTTTGCCTGGTTCTGGGTGGTTTGATAGGTTGGTTTGGCTTGTTTGGCTTGTTTGGTTTATTTGGCTTGATTGTTTGTCTGTCTCTTTGCTTGATTGCCTTTTTTTAAAACATTGCTTGGTTATTTGTTCCTTCCTTTCTTCTCTGCTTGCTTGCTTGCTTGCTTGCTTGTTGGTTCGTTTGCTCGCTCGTTCGTTTGTTTGTTGTTCATGTCTGTCACTTCCGACCCCGCTTGCCACTATTGTATCATTTCTCATCCCAAATCATGCGCCCGTTCGAGTAGAGGACTCTGCTTCGCATTTGGGCATCACAGCCAGAATCAGCATGGGCGGGTGCCTTTTTGATGGGGTGACCCTTTGAATGGGCAACAAATGGGTTCCTTTTGGATGCTACACATGTTTGTCCTTGCAAGCGGGGAATGTGGGCCAAAGGTCCCCTTAACGGAAACTACCGGTATGGATGGGCGCAAAAGGGTCATTCCAATTCTCATTCCCTGCATCTCTCAGCAAGAAGTGGGCTGCCCTCAGATCCCTGCTGAAAGTGATATGGAAATTGCCACTAAACTCTGCTACAAAAGATATATTGTGTTTTTAATGAGGTATACCAGTTGTTCAAGTCTGTCAAGATGATATACAAGACCAAAAGGCGAAACAGCTAAAACTGAAAAAGGGGTCATCCCTTCTCATCGCTAAAACGCCAAAACGCTTTCGGAACCTGAACCGGATGGCTGGCTTCGCCACCAAGAGCACATAAGAGCACCCAAAACAGCGCGCAGCGCGCGCCTTGAGCCGCAGCAGCTCCGGGGCTTGAGCCACGCCCAGGCCCACCGCCAGGCTCTCGACCCGCCGCAAGGTGAGGTCCAGGTTGGAGGCGCTGGGGTCCAGCGACACCTGAGACGATCGGCTGGACCGGGTGGATCTACTTGGGTGGGGTAGGGGGGGCCCAGTTTGGGCCCAGAAAGAAAGGTGACCATAGGTGGCCTTTTGGAAAAATAGATGGGTTTCCCTAGTAAATGGAACACACCCCATCTAAACCAGTGGAACCCATCTATGTTTAGCCAAACGAACCTAAAAAGGACACCCATGAAGGTGACCCTCCATCCCCTTAACATGGCACCTGACAGGAGGTCCCTTCAAGAAGGAAGTTGATCTTCCAAGCTGAGTCGGGTTAACCTTTGAACCCGTCAGCTCGAGGTAATTGGGCCTAACCCAAACACCTAGCGCATGGGGAGAAAAAAAGAACAGAAGTCAAGGCTCTCCTTGGGCCTTCCTTTACTTCGGGCTGGTCCTTTGAAAGGGGGCGGTCGCTTCAAAGCGTGCCCTCACTCCAACATGGCACCTGACAAGGACCCGGTCCCTACAAGAGGAAGTTTCTCTTCCAGGTACCCTCCCACAGGCGCTTTTTTAGTGGGAGGAAGGGTAACCTTTTGGGGCCTTCCTTTTGGGGGCTACTGAAAGTCCATGAAATAACGATCCAAACTGAGTCGCTTCAAATCAGAGTCGCTTAAACCCTTGTGCAATTTGCTATATCCTACCTGTGCATGCAAGAATTCATCATGTCACTGCAGAATATGACATGATTAGAGTTCGGCCCAGTTATAGAATGTATATGATATTGTTTGCTTCACAGGGAGTCACTGCAAAAATGTAACATGTATCCTAAGGCTACCCCAGAGGCAGTGGTTGCCTGCCTCCTCCCGCTGAAGCCCCTCGATGCTTCCTGGCACGTGGGGCCGCAGCCGCGAGCGTGGCCTTGGTCACGCGTGCAAACGTCTTAGCAGCTCATGGCCCAAGGCTTCTCCTCTGAAGCTGCGTAGCTTGGCTGATCTTGGCCACGGAAACTTGGAGTTGAAACCCCAGGTCACAGACACATTGGGCTGGCAAGATGCGAGGTGTGGCCGGTGAGGTTCGGGACCAGGCCACAGTATCCCCAAAAGACACCGTGACCGTGACCCAATTCAACTGGAACCTGAGGTTCGGGACCCTTTATCCCTTTAACAGGCAAATGGTCCAAACCAAGATTCCCTGTACGTCCATCGGTTCCATGTATTAGTTGGTGGGAGGGTATCTTGTCTTGTTCTGGGATTGTCCTAACGACCTCCGAGACATTCTCCCAACTGTCTGGTGCTGTGCATGGACAAAATTATGCACCAAATGGAACCCATGCTCGAAACCATGGTTCATTGGTATTTACAGAGGGCTCCCAATTCCAGAGTCTCTGTTGACTCAGACATGGTCTACCCAAACTCATGCTAGGAAATTAAAGGGCGGATGTCCGCGGCGATTTCTGGCTGGGACCGCCCGAAATGCAAACCTTCGAATCTTCCCGGGAACCCTCCCGCAAAAAAAGGGGTAAAACTCCCCAGTGAACATCCCTCAAATAGGTTCTAACATGGGTGGTGAATTAATTCACCTACCAACCAAAGTGGGATCCCATTGGTTTTGACCCACAGCCATACCTTCCGGCCGATCAAACTACTTACCCCTTAAAACTCCAAGCCCTGGGGAAGTTAATCTTTTACAGACATATAGCCCATGTTACCCCCAAAAAGTTGAAAAGTTGTGTTTTTAAGAGGTAAGAACTTCAAGGCGCATCAGCACCTCGGGGGCCATCCGCTCCGGGCAGCGCAGGCGCCACAAAGACTCCCAGCGGCTCGCCACCTGGGCCACGGCCCAGCTGGAGCCCAGCTCGTACTCCACCAGGTCGCCCACCACCGGGTCGAAGGCCTGGTCATGGGGTTCAACCGCCCGGTTAGCCACCACTGAACATCCCAATCCAACCACTCAAGTGGGTTCTAAAATGGAAGGTGAATTCACCTACCAACCAAAATGGTACCATTGGGTTTGACCCACAGCCAAATCCAGCCCTTGCAACTGGGCCCTGGAGGCTTGGTTGCTGTTGACCCCCCGGCAACAAGTTTAACTTTTTGAGGGTTTAGTGGGAAACCCAACTTGATTTCCCGAAAAGTTAAAGTCTACAGATCCAACCCAATAGCAGTCAAGAAGGAGTACTGGTGCTTTCTCCTTGGGTGTGGGGTGTTTTCAGATTGGGGCTGGGATTTCAAGGAAAGGATCTTGGGTGTTGTTGACTTCGTTGCCAAGTTGGACCAATCCAACCAGAATCAGCTGGTGCCTGGCGCCCAAGCTCTGATGAAAGCTGACTTTTCCCGGCTAGGCTGTTCTTGCCGAATGCCGATATCAAACACATTGTGAACCCTGTGGCAAATGGCCAGCACTATATCCCGTGGCCATGTCAGCAGCTCCACTCAAATGCCGCCTTGAAGTCAGCATCACTCAGTGCTGGAGGTGGAAGCCGCACATCCTGCGCCGGGCGCTCGAATTGTGGGGGTCGAGTGCCGCTCCGGCTTAAACTGGTGTGGCTCACGCGCAGCTGGACCTGCCACCAGCATTTGTGGTGTTCCATTTTTTGGGGCACACTCAAAAAAGGGCGGGCTCGCTCCAGCTGCGCTTGGTTTTCCCATTCCGACTCAAACTAGTGTAGCTCATTAGTTAAAGAAACTGGAGCTGCCCTGTCTTGACACGAATCCGCTCATATTCATGGATCACCCGCCGACAGGCTCCCTACTTGCCCAACGTCAATGGTAGAACAAAGTCACCTGCTGGGGGTTGACGTGTTTGTCCTGGTGACAAACAAAACACAAAAAGGTGCCTGCTCCCTTTCCCGTAGTGTTTGTTGTCCTGCATGCTTAACATAAGTAGTACTAGGTTTTACCATCCGTAAGCGTTGTTTGGGGTGCCTTTGACCCCTCAACAGCCCCTCAAACCCCCCGCCTTCTGCGGAAAGATGGCCTCCTGGCCCTCGATGCAGCACACCACGCAGGGCCCTCGCAGGTCCCGGAGCTTTGCTTCGCGCCAGACGAAGGGCTCCTGGGGCCACCGGACCTCCAGGCCATCGAACATGGCGCCGGAGGGGTCCTTGGCACCTGAAAATTGCACAACAAATGGCGACCTCTAAGTGACAAGTGGCCCAGGATTTGTGGCTGCCGGGGTGCGGTAGTAGCTCCTTGCCAGTGTCCAGCTAAGTTGCACCACAAGCAAATTGAAGATGTAGGCTCTTTGATCTTTGCACTCGGTGCTTGGCCGGTTAAAAGCTTCCCTGGGCATGTGGCTCCGGCTTTGAGCCTTCTTGCCGCCCGCTGGCAAACTTGGCACTTCCCTCAGCGGCAATGCGAGGCGCAACCTGCCTCGCACACGGCCACACATCGAAGTCACGGCCCAAAGTTGAGCAGTGGCCCTTCCAGAACTGCAGAACAGATCTCTGATTCGCTTCATCTCTCGGCCCGTGGGACTTCCCCCAGGCCCGTAGGACTTCCCCCGCCCTTCGGGTGTCCTGGTCCTCAGCGACTGCAGCACCTCTTCCTCCAACTCCTCGGCCTGAAGAGCAGCATATGCCTTGGTCCCATCGCAGCCGACGCGAAGCTGCCCAGCACCTCTTTTGGGCGAGAGGTGGGGGCAACATGGCACCCACGCGGACGGGGCCCATGCCAAAAAATCCAATGCCAAAAAACCCCGTGGCACGCATGAGGTCCTTTCAAGGTTTTTTGGCAGACCAGTGGGCACATGGCACCCCATGCGAAAAACCGCAAATTTAGGCCATTTGGCAACTTGGCCGCCCCCCAGCCTCCCGCCCATGGGGGCCCGGCGCGGGAGAGGCTTGCAAAATGCACAGGCAACCTGGGAACAGGGCAAGTGCCCAAGGAATGGTGACCGAGTGCTTAGCAGCAAGCGTCATGCCAATTGAACATGAATTCCCCAGCTACTCATACTAGACCCAAGCTGCTGAAGCATGTGGTGCAAGGTGGCGAAATAGAAAAGGTTTTGGGCTTTCCAGGCAAGCATTGCAGCTTAGTACCAAACAACAAGAATGTGTCATACAATGCTGGGCCCTTGCAAAGTACCAAATCGCCAAGAGCCACCACACTGCTCTCCAGTCCAGCACTGGCAATGCACATCGCTTCAGCGGACTAGGGTGGTTTTTGGCCCGATGCAGCGGACACGGTCTGTCTGTAGCGGTCAGGCTTCCAGGCAATTTGCTGCCTTAAACGGTGCAGAAGGGAACCTACGAAGGTCGCATCTTTGTTTACAAATGAGTCGTCTGAGCTCAGTCCTTCACAGCATCCCTTTCGGCAGCGCGCTCCTCTACACAGTGCGCTGCACCGCAGCACCGCAGCTGCACTCCGCACTTTGGCGAAAACTGCAAAGTGTAAAACTTGAGTGGCGAAATCTGGCGATGCTCGCTAGGGCCGGGCCCCCTCCCACTTTCCACTCAAACCGACTTGTAGGGCAAGACCTGCGTGCTGTCCTTTATGCACAGCTGATAGCTACGCAGCATCTCTTGCGTCAAGTAAACGACAGCCTGAAGCTCAAAGAGTCAGACTGTCAGGGGCACTCATCGGCGTTTTGCCAGCGTGTGCTATCAATGCGCAACACTACCCTATTTCACCTAGAGAAGTGGCAATGCATCACTATAGGTCCGTCATCTGAAATTGCACGGTCTTTGACTTCTCGAGGGCTTTCGTGAAACATACAGGTTTGCTTTGTCGTTGCAGCCAAAGTTTTTCTCAGTATTTGGTCAACGCAGGTTTGGTAAAACTTGCACGCTAGTCTGGCCACTGATACTGCCTGAAGCAGCAGGCACTCGCATGCAGCCATGTATCAGTGTCTGTTTTGTTGCGGCTGCGCCTGGCGCGATCAGCCTGCCCGACGATGCACATATGTTCGCATATGTTTCTGCACTTGCTCGGGCTAACCAAAAATGAATCTGCAACTACAATGCCGTCTGCAACTTGGTCATGCAGTTGACCTACACATCTATCCAGATCGGCTATATTTAGGAGCCGTTTACAGGCTGGGGGAACCTAACGTGCCAGTGTGACTCATGACTCACTTTGCTAAAGAACGGAGCCCAGCAGCAGGAGCAAACCCAGCCACGAACTGGACCCTGCCGAACAGCTTAGGTGCTCTGCCCGGCAGTCGGAGTGTTGGGCCTTGTCTCAGTTTTTCAGTGGAGCTTCACGGCATTAACAAAAAAAACATAGCTACTGATGTGATTAAGGGGGAAGGTGAGCTGGGTGAGTCGCGCACTGCAGGGCGGTAACAAAAAGCCGTACTTCATGCCCAACCAGCAAGAGTGGCAATACGAAAGCTTGGCTGCAACACAGTGTGCCCTACACTACTTCATTCCCACACAGTGTGTCCTGGCGACCCTCTTGTCAGCGGCATGGGGGGTAGCTTGCGAGCCTAAGTGAGGAAACCACAGCTTCCGCTGCAAGTGCCACACCGTTCCAACCCGAAAGGTTCTTCCCGCAGCGACTCGGACCATTTTGCACCCCGCAGTCTCCCATGAGCCACTCTCCGTGGCGCTGGCATCTGCAGGTTCACGGTTAAACGGTTCAACGGGGGCCGCCTTAAAGGTCGAAACGCCCCTTCCCCACGGAATGCCAGTGCATTCCGCAGAAAGCCCGGCACTGTGCGTTCCAACAGCATGCGGCACCTAGTGGCGCAATGCTCTGCGCACATAAGTCGCATGTGCTAGCCTACAGCAGGCAAAAGGCGCCCAACTGAAGAGACTGTGCCAAGGCCTTCTGCCCCGCAATCCGGACACAGCTTTCCACTCACGCCAGCTTGGACCCCCAAGAGTGATTGTTGACAACGCAACGTGTTGCTTGCACAAAGCGCTCTTTGAAGCAAGCCGAGCAGTGCGTGTGGATAGGGTGCCGGATGCCAGCGAATTGCCTCACTTTGCCCTTTGCTTCAGCATCGGCTTCAGCACCTTTCCCTGTGGCTTCCTCGGATGCTGGGCAATGATGTTCAGGGCCAGCTGTGTACAATTTCCGTTTGCACGACTTGGCCCACAGAGAAGCCCAAGTCTCACAGAAATCAGACCACGCGCACACCTGGAGCTGACTTGCGCGTTTTGGTGCGCTCAGAATTGCAGACAAATCTAGGTTTGCCTAATCTGGAACCTGGGAGTGGGTGCTCGAAAGGCGGAGATTGCCTGTCATCATCTTGCGCGGCTCAAGATCAAGCAATCGGCCTTGAAAAGGGGGTGTAAAACAAGAACCCCTTCCTGTGGCTCCAGTTCCTGCCTGTTCAGGCGCGAAAAGAATGCCATGGCGCCATGTGGCCTCATATGGAGACCCCGCGGCCCCGCCCCTCCATCCCACTCGGCCAGGCTTCAGGGGCCACACGCGCAGGGGCTGGTTGCCCTTGCTCGACTTGCTGCCCGACTTGCCGTTTTCATAGCCAGAGGGCTTTCTCAGCATGCGGTACCGCTCCTCATCTGCGGGAGGCACCTGCGGATGCCAGCTGAGGCTCACTCCGTGCAGCCCCAAGTGGATGCATGCTCAGTCTAGGCTCCTGTGTGCCAAGCTCCTCCCCACCAATCCCCCCCCCAAACAAACAGACTGGTGCGTGCGTTGGCCTCGTTGCCACCTACTTCTATCATCTTCTATCCTTCACCAGCGTCCAAGTTCGAGCTATTCAGACTCCTTCCAGGCATCTCCGGCCAACGGCCGACCAAACCCCCCGAAAGCGCGCGCGACGTCGGGGGTTGGTTCCTTGGACGCGTCTATGACAAGGCGCCGGGAAACCCATCTTCTTCAGCTCGGACTTCACCTCCTCTGGAGCCTTGCGTCGCAGGGGCCCCTTTGGGCCCAACAGCCGGCAGCCGGGCCGATGGCAAGTATCAGCTTCCCTGGAGCCCGGTGGTTTGGTAGGGACAGTTTCCCATGGACCCTCTACAAGAACCAGAAAATGGTTCGTCCCCACAAGTCAAAGCCACCAAGGGGTGCCTGAAACACTGCACAAGACAGCCCAGGCGCCGTCTGAATCCAACGGCTCTGCAGGGTAAGCTCATCAGAACCCATGTGGTGACTGGATCCCAACTGGAAGCCACGACGGAAAGACAAAATGCTTTCAGCGTGCAGTCGCTCTATCTCACCCGCGCGCGTTTTAAGGCCCATGGCAGCTTCGGGGCGGCCCAAGCGGAAAGTTCGGGGCCCATGTCGGCAGGCGCCTTGGCGTGGCAGCCGCAGCAAAAGAAGACGATGGAGAACCTCTCCCCCTCGAAGTCGTGGACTTCGTGTGCTGTGTTTCCTTAGCCAGGCTCGTGCGAACAAACGATCTGGCGGGGGTGGCTAAGAAAATGTCTGCTTTGTTGTCGTCATTTCCCAAACAACGCAGCTTGAAGATATAAACAATAACGATATGATCTGAGAAATCTGCTTTGTTTGGGGGCCGGGGTGGCCGTGGTGACTCCATCGGACAATTCCCTGACTCACTGCTGGCTGCTGCGGAGCGGTGCCACGTGGGCGCAGTAAAGACATTGCAGGCGTCCAAACCCTTCAGTTCCCCCAGCATTAAAAATCACATCCACATTACCCATACAGAATACAGATGAATGATACACTACACATGCATAGGCACACACGCACACAACTATATTTTCCTAGATAAGCAGCGTACATATATTGGAACAACACATGGTAGAACAAGGCTTTGACGTGCATCACTGTCAAAGGGTGGCGAACGGTTCAGACATCGCCAGCCAGGCAGCCGTTGAACATCACCAGGTTCGCTGCAATGTCAACCGTGACCTTCCTCGAAGGTTGGCCACACGGATGTCGCGACCATGCGAATGTCCGAAGGTTGACATTCGCATTAAGCTGGATGGGTTTTGCGACATATGAGGAATCCCCACTAAAAGGGGACACCCCCCTATTAATCAACCAGGGGTTTATTTATCCGGGGCTAACATCGATAGAACTCCCTTGCGGCCAGGCGCTGGCCAGCTGGAAGCTGGCTGATCTGCTGGCTCTTGTCATCCTCCGGCCAAACGGACAGCTCACCTCCCTGCGCAGGGGAGGGGGATCATTTTCGAACACCGATTTTGGATCATTTTCGAACACCGATGTCCTGGATCATTTTCGAACACAGAGTGGGTCATTTTCGAACACATGGGGGGCTATCCTGCGGCAGGTGGGGCAGTTACGTTTGCCTCTTACTGCGTGACCGTGCCACTGCGTCCTGGGGGTGGGGGTGGGGGTGGGGTGGGGCAGTTCCGTTCGCCTCTTACTGCGTGACCGTGCGACTGCATCCTGGGGCTGGGGGAAGGGGGTAATTGCGATCGCTGACTGCGTGACGGTGGAACTGCGTATTGGGGCTGGGGGGGGGGGTGGGGCGGGGCAGTTACGTTCGCCTCTTACTGCGTGCCCGTGCAACTGCGCCCTGGGACTGGGAAAAGGGGGCCCCGAGTCCCAAGTTACCTTGGCTTTTTGAGCTCAGATGTCCTCGGCGATTTGCGCTCGTTGGCCCCCGTAAAGCCGTGAAAACTCGGCCTAACGGCCGTAATAACTCGCGCGGGAAACTGAAAGGCCGTTACTACTCCGTGAAAAAGCCGTGAAAACTCGTGAAATTTCAAGCTCTGAGTTATCTTGTCCTCGCGACACAAAAACCTCCTTAGCTCATACGGCCTAAGTAACTTGCGAATCGGAGCCTCCTGGAATTGCGATCGCCGCTTACTGCGTGGCGGCGCAACTGCGTATTGGGGCTGGGTGGGGGGTGGGGTGGGGCAGTTGCGTTTGCTTCTTGCTGCCTGACCGTGCGACTGCGTCCTGCGGCTGGGGGGGGGGGGGGATGGGGTGGGGCAGTTACGTTCGCCTCTTACTGCGTGA